AGAATGAGGAGAAATAAGAGAGTAACAATGACTGAGATAAAACAATAAAATAATTTCTGGACGAACGGTTCGTCTCTTGGGAATTGAAAGGCTAAAATAAATTGAAACACATAAACTTTAAGTCAGCTCCGCGCAATATATTCAATACGATTAAAAATTATTACTAGAAAATTACCATATTGTATATGTGACATAACAGCAATTTTTAATTGACGAAACAACGTTTTGATTGCTTCCTTTCGACTCCCATGCTGATTTCCTATAGACATAATCCCAAATGGAGCTAACGGCTCGCTCTGCTTAAAAATCGAAAGATTATTTTTTGTTCTTTAAACCAGGATTTGAACCGGCAACCAATGGAGTGGTCTTCAAAAAATATTAAATCTTGCGAACTTTGATCGAGTTACGGGCGGTTTTTTACGTTGAATATGACCGTCGAAGCACACCGTTGTTGTACGAAAGGATCGCTAATTACACGCCGTTAGATTGCTATCGAGTGGGCACCGGGGGCGCGAAGGCTCGGGGTTATTTCCTCGTTTTTCGAGACGATTCTACAGTCTTTGAGCCCTTGATAACAAAGATTAAGCCAATGAAGTGATCAGCTGACGGGCGAACGGGCGCTTAGCTGTTTTGTCCCATTGTTTAATAACGGGCGATCAGCTGTCAAACGCATCAGTGGTCAATCAGCTGTTGCCGTCGACTGGCTCTTGCTTTATTTCGGCATTTTTCTGCTCGATATGTTCGAGACGAATGACAGCACCTGGCAACGGCTGACAATGAGTGGTAGAATGCTAGAAAAAACGATGAAGAAAAGAGACGATTTCTTCTATACGAAACAACCGTTTATAAATGCTAAGATATTTTAATTATGATTTATTATGATTTCAGCGTAATTTTCAACAAACGTGTATATTTAAATTAATGTTATGACAATTTTTGAGCGCATTAAAAAATTAAACACATATATAAATATTAATAGAGCATATTCAGAAGTTAAGTCTCCTGTTTACTCATTATTATTATCTCAGATTGTGACGTCAGAAGCGAGAAAATATACAATAAAAATTATTCCTGAACATATTAAAATAAAAATAAAAATAAAACACATTTATAATCGATAAAATTGACTTGTATAAATTTGCGTGCCGCATTGCTGCATGGTACAAAAATATTATTGAAAAAGTACTATTATATCTAATGTAAAATAATGTAAACTGCAAAATCGACATTATGTTTTGACTTATATATTAGTTATACTAATTATATATAGTAAATGAAAATTTATATTTATATATGTATATTATGTATTACTTTTTAATCGTCTGGATAGACACCTGAATCCAAGAAGTCTAGTATGCACTTTCTTGCTTTGCCGGGTAAAGTTCTGAAATGAGAATTATAATTTTATGATAGACACAAATAAGAAATGTCAGGAAAATATCTAAAGTAAAAATAATATTGTATTATAGGCATACAAAATATATAGTAATCATAGTACAACACAGTATTCGTTATTAATAATATAACAGAGAATTGTTCTAGGACTCACGCATAGTTGTATATTTAAAAATTATACATTGTGCGTAGTATGAATAAATTATTCGTGGTTTACATACCTTTTTATATTTAACAAGGGCAGCCAATATGATGGTAATGTTCTGTTTTCATAATTTCGTCTCTGCGCATCAATTATTAACGAGGCCGCCTCCCGCGGTGAATGTCCATTCATCATCCGTGGAAACCTAAATAATCGAATCACTGCTATTATTATATGACATAAATATCTTATTAAGTAAATTGTCGATATATAAAAAAGACCTACTACAATATAAAATGCTATTAACATTAAATTTTTTAATATTATTACAATTAAAATTCTATTTCGTCGAATATGGCAATGTGTAAGAGAAATTAACTGCGTGTGTGATATTGCAAAACATCTGTAACGATCGTGTATCGTTGTAAACTTACCTAACTTTTGTCTTTTTAACCATTCCGGTGTGTACTAGACCCGGATAAATAGTAGTAAATTTGATATCTGATTTTTCATTACTGAATGCACGTAATTCCTCAGACACTGCTTCCATAATTGCTGCGACACATATATCAATATGTTAGAAATGTATACTTTATAATGATACGTATATTTTTACGCTATCAGTGTGTTGTTAAAATTATGTGTAATATATATGATGTAATTATACATATATGTTATAGTAAGAGCGTGAAATTCAGTAAATGTATACACTTACATAAGAGCTCTCATTTACAAGTATGAGTGTAGTGAGATAGAGATGTGGATCGAGGGGCTGAGTCCTCACCTCCCCCCCAATACTAATTTAATTCAACCTAATTTGTATCATTGTCATGATATATTGCTTATTAAAGATATAAATTTGAAACATAAAATTTAGTAAATGTATGTACATTGACTAGTAACTGCATACATTAACTAAAAAATGTATACATTTACTGTTTTCATACTTTTACTGTGACATATTTACATATATACGTATAACTATCTCATTTATTTATTACAAGAGCGTGTGCTTGAAAAAAACGTGAAAACGACACATTTTTAAATATATGTTTATATAAACTTTCTTTGCTTATTTTGATGAGTAGAATACGCGCTTGAAGTAGCGGCCGACATAAATAGGTAATTTGTGTATATTTGTGTATATATGTATACGTATATGTGTACGCGCGCGCGTATATATTTTAATTTAATTAATATATTCATCTTTAATCACATGATTTATTATACTCGTTCATATAATATTTTATTATTCATATAATGTTATAGTCGTTAACTAAGGGATATATGTATATGTATAATTACCTTTAACTGCGAATTTTGAAGGGCAGTAAACCGTCGCATAAGGAGTACACATAAGTCCTGCTACTGACGAAAGTGCCACAATATGACCGTGATTTTTTTCGATCATACTTGGTAAGAATGCTTTCAATGTCTGAAAGCAATATCTCTTTGTGTGTGTGAACAGTGGTTTGAAAACTTATATAATTATCTGTATACTCATCCAAATCGTACGGTACGTTCCGATTACGAGCAACAAGCTTGTATATGTATTTGTTTTATAAAAATAAAATGATAGCAGTTGCGTTAATGGTAATTTTCTATATCTCGTAGCTTAGGTATATATATGTCTCACAGAGAGATACAATACTTACCCAAAAATGCGCTGTCGCATTGACGTTCATGACCCGTTCAATTTCATCGAGACTGTGATTCAGGAATGATTTAAAAATCCCTATGCCGGCGTTGTTTACCAAGATAGTAACGTCACCTATTTCTTTCTTTACTTTCTCGGCTACCCGGAAGACTTCTTCCCTATCTGCTACATTACATCTGTAAAATGCGACTAAATTTTAATTAATACTGATAATTTAACAGGCGTTTACACATATTCGTACACGTGTAAATTGTATCGGAGTAGCTTTTTCACTCCATCAAGTCTTGTAAAAAAATCGCTGCAATACCGATACGCATATACAGAGTCTCTTCCCATTCTTTTAATGTCGTTCATTGTCTCGTTGTTTGTTTCTTCATTGATATCCCAGCATATCACTGTTGCTCCTAACGATGCATAGCCAATCGCTAATTCCTTTCCGATACCGTGACCTGCACCTGTTATCTGTGATAATATATAATATATAAAATATAATTTAAAACATAATTATAATTGTCAAATTATAATTATGAAATTACAATTTACAAACTTTTAAAGTTCAAAATATTATAGATATTTAAATTTTCTTGTTGAATTGTATGCTTTAGAAAGAACAAATTTACTTAATAAAATATGAAAACGAATGTGTCATCAAATAAAGAATGTCAGCTCAGAGTCTAACTGTAAAATAAGTATTTTTTTATTTGCTCACGCAATCTAATTTCAGATAACACTTGTTTACAGTAACAAAAAAAGAAAATTAGGAATTTGTACATTGCTTCCTCATTATTTTTAAGAGCTTTGTGAGCGAAATAAAATTTTGATGAAGCAATGTGTAAATTCTTAATTTATTTGTATGTTTTTTTTTATATATAATAGTGTCCATATTAAAAATTTCATACGCACCAAAACAATTTCGCCAGCTACGCTCTTTTTCTTCGTTGGAACAATTAATCTGTATACGTCTTCACAAATATAATATACAACTTTTAAAATAAGAAATAATATCTCTGCTAGAAGAAGCAACATATTGTACGTTTTCATCATGATTGTCTGAAAAAGAAGATTTTTTAATAAGAACATTTAGTATCGGTTGATATAAAAATGTGTGTTAATTACATTAATTTTTTTTTCATCGGATGATATATTTTCAATTATAAACGTGTAGTTATGTAATTATGTATTTTAATTATTGTTAATGCTTTAGAATATTATTTGTATATTATATGAGACAGTTAAAACAAAAGAGGCTAACAAGTAAAATTTAGTGAAGATAATTTTCGATTTTTACACATTGAAACTTCTTTTGGAAAAGTTTTATAAATTTTAATGAATTAAAAATATTGTACAGAAATAAAAGAGATAGATAAGATAGACGGATAGCTAAAGAGAATTTGACATATTTTTATGTAAAATTATTTTTACGAAAGGTGTAAATTTTGCGAATAATTATGTAACATTATTGTGAGGAAAGTTTTTTTTATAATTTTCTTTTATGAGGAAAAGCAAGCTTTTGTTTCTCTCTTGAAAAGAGATATAGTTATTTTATTATTTTTATTTGTTACAAAAAACTGAGTTTATTATACAGTGTAAGTACGAAAGAATTATTACTATAGTTACCAAAGGAATAGAATTTGTCTTGTATACCTGATCGTCGTTACTGTTCATAGTGTTCATAATGCGATGTTAAATCTGTTTTCAATCTCTAGCTGTTTCTCTGACGAAGAGTCAATGGTAACTGTCTGCATCAGAAAACAATCATTACCTTTTATGTGCTTTTCATCGAATAAAATGAATAAAATAATTTATTATTTTAGTTTACATTGTCATCAACGGAGCTTTTTGTTGAATAAAGAATAAAGTAGAGGTAAAGAGAGATCATTCGTGATCATTAAAATAACTTTTGTATGAATCAATGTCATTTTTATGTTATATAAAAGTAATATTTTTATTTTATTTTAATGTTAAACAGAATGCGATTTTTATATTACACTGACGTGTCATATTTGTGAAGTTCCGTATTACATCGCTATATGTAAATATCAAGCTTTACCTTAAAGAAAAATAATTTTAAATTTAAAATCTTTAATTTATTTGTTACAGAAAACCAAATCTATTACATAGTGTTAGTATTTATTATAATATGAAAGAGATAAAATTACATCGAATTGCATCGCTGAATGCAACGCAGATGTCAAGATAAATTCTCTCTTTCCCTCTCCTTCTCCCTCTCTCCTCTTTTTTCTCTGACTTTTATAAAATTCTATTTTATGTTGTTAGTTGTTTATATTTATATGTTTTATATTATATCGCATAAAATCAACATATTACTTATAAAAAAGTCGATACTAGAAAAAATGTGTGATATAGCATAAATATACCTTTATAAAAAGAAAGCTAGATTGTTAACAACTCACATAGTCAAATCTATCCAGAACAGATTTTGAAAATATCTGCCGCAAATGTTGCCGACAGAATGCCAGCAAAAATGTAACAGATTTTGCTAACAGAACATAATGGCAGATTGATCGCAGAAAGTGAACAAAATTTACCATTTAAATGATGTATTCCATTTAAATATTGTTTAAATAGTGAACAGATTGTGCTCGGTTTCTGCCGACAATCTGCTGTCAGATTATATCGGCAGGTTCTGTCGGCAAAGCACAAGTTTAATGCGGACACAGATGATATCGGATCTGTTGCGATGTCTGAACGAAATCTGCTGCCAATCTATGTCATATTGTGAACAGATTGTTTACTGGAAATCTACTCTTAGATACAAGTGCAAACATTGAAGCGAAGTTTTTTAATTTCTAAAGTTATTACTTTGCTATGATTATTGTATTACAATTACAACAACTTACGCTATTAAAGTTGTGGTACAAGTAAATCTCGCTGTTACGATTTCCTTCTTCTGAAACACTGCGTCGTAAAAGAAACAATGCGCAATAACGTAACTGTAACAGTTGTTATAAAAAGTTACTTAATTATGAAAAACAGAGTCAATTAACGTTTATACGACATCTTTCGTCAGTATTTATAACTACGTAGTTAAACCCGGATAGTGGACGTGTAAACTGCTTATTAATCATACACCGGTATTCATAGTCGGATCTTATTTCAAGACCGTCTCTAAGTATTGTCTTGAGATGCTGATACTGCTCTGTGATTGATTTATGATGTCTTAAGATTGCACATTATACTTAAGACGGTCTTTAATATAAGATCTGATTCTGATTATGAATACCGGCCATAGTTTCGTACAATAGCTATCCCAACGAGCGCGAACACTTGGCGATCTTTTTTTACCTTTCTTTAAAAAGGTATTTTTTATGCTATATATATCACGCATTTTTTTCTGGTATCGAGCGTTTTATAAGTAATGTGTTGATTTTTTGTAATATAATATAAAGCATATAACTATAAACAACTAATAATATATATAATATAATTTTATAGAAGCCAAAAAGGGGAGGGAGGGAGAGAGAGAGAGAGAGAGAGAGAGAGAGAGAGAGAGAGAGAAAGAAAGAAAGAGATAGAGAGTTTATTTTGACATATTTTTATTTAAAAATGTTTTCAAGGAAAAATAATACTTTACAAGTGATTACGTAACAACGTCTTGAGGAAAGTTTCTTCGTAGTTTTCTTTTTTAAAGAAATATCAAGCTTTGCCTGCCTTGCAGAAGAATAAGTTTAAATTTAAAATCTTTATTTGTTACAGAAAACCAAATCTGTTACATAGTGTTAGTATTTATAATACGAAAGAGATAAAATTTGTTTTATTTACCCGATCGTTAGTGACTGTCCGTAACTTTTGTCTACAGTGATTACACAGATTAAATTCTTATGACTCAATCAGCTAAGCAGAATCAATGGCTGGGTGTGGTTCAAATGCGAGCACTTATAAACTGTATCTCTTCAAGAGTTAAGAAAAACCCAGACGTTGAGAGACTGACCCACTGGCCTTAACATTTCCCCTTCCATGTATAAAGGCGTGAAAGTACCGAAATTGTGTCGTAATCTTTGTCTGCGATACACTAATGTTCGGGACACTAATCTGCGATACTGGTCAGTCATCTCATTTTCATATATGCTTGTTATTGCGAGAAACTCGTTTCGCGTTAAAGAAGACCTTCAAGAAAAGACGAAAAAATGAGGACAAAGAATGTAAGATGGCCGCTTGCCACTATCATCGCCGAAGTCGACTGATAGTTCGACTGAATGTCTAATTTTTTGCTGTAATAATTTCGGAGAAGATTTATAAAACAAAAATTAAGTCAGATAAATACCTCGTTATACATACACATATTTTTATTGCAAGAATTTTTAATATTACTGAAGGAATACTTTGTGATATTTTCTTGTACCAGTTAACAGAAAGGAAAAAAAAGTTTGGAAGAAAGAAAGAAA